TGTGTGAAGCGGAAGAAACTATTCATTTATTTAATCTGATTCTTGTGAATTCATTCAGTCTTTCAAGAAATACACTACCTGAAATCTGAAAAAGAAATCCCATTTTGATTTATGAATTCAGGTTGTCTAAGCCAAATTAAATGATCTTCCTACAGAGGCCTTCCATAACAGGACGAAAATCTGATTGCATTGACAGGCTTACAGGAAGGCATTTTATTCATGTGTAAGATGTTAGGACAGAATTTAAATTCATTTTTTAACCTGTTGTCACAGAAAACCTCCCTCTCTCTACTAAATCTTGACATCGGGAAAATTTTTATTTTAAATGATTTTAGGCTGTGTATTATATATTACGTATTTATAGATATCATATTTTTATATAAATATCTTGTTTAGAATGGTCCATAACTCATTCTTGTTCTAACCAATTGTCATCAGCACACCACAAAATGGTATTTTTATATTTCAGTCTTAGTGATTTAATGGGGACTTTTTTTAATAACCTGTCTGAGCAAAAATGACAATTTTTGTGACTTTAGTGATAATTCAACTGGTGTTCAAAATAACAAAAATTAAAGCTTTTATTCTTAATTCTCTTATTTTAGAGGACGCCAAGAAAACGATTCTTTAGTTCATCGTAGAGAAGTTTCTCTACCACAGATGTATCATCTGTAATTATTTTTAACACATGATACTTGATTTTCTATATTTAATAGTCGAAGTACTAGTATATTTAGTCGTACTAGTATATTTAGTCGTTTAAGTCGTTAAATTCTCTTTTTTCAAACACTATTCAGTGGGATTTTCGGAAACCAGACCCTAATGAAGACGTCGTATCTTCTATTAGAGGTGTGAAACTCAACGGTGCAAAGCTACAAAATCTGAAGATGAAAAAAAAATTACGTCATGTAAATCATCAGGGATTACATTCCTCAGCTTATGTTCCAAAACCATACGGAGGACCCCATCCTTCCCAATAGTATTGACCTTCATTCCTTAAACTCCAGATGTATAATGCTGAAATTGCTAAATTATCTCAGAAAGGGTATACTAGTAGTGTAGCTGAACAGTTGAAAAAGGAAATCGTTAGTCTAAACTAGCACAGATCAGTTCAACATGGAACAAATGAGTGAGAAACATAGCAAAAAGATAATACGGATGTATAATATGTAGATGTGGAAATTGTCGATTAACTGATATAACTGAGTGATATAGTAAATGAACCGTGTAATGGAGGTTCTGTCGATCACTCAAGCCGAGTGCAGCACGTATGCATCATGGACACTTCTCCAGCCCAATCGTTCATGTATTTTAATTTAGCAGTTGAAAAAGTCGACAAAGAAATTGTAATGGAAAAAAGGTTGACGGAAATCACATTTTGGAAGACGCGCAATTCATTAATTGTCGACAGGGATTTGGTGATTTGGATGGAAAGACATGTTCCTGATACGAAATCCTGGTGAGAAGAAATTATCAGAATTTGTAAAAATCTTTTCGAATTTGGATCACGATAGCCTGATTGTGGTTCTGTGAACTAACTCTAGTTTGAGTTGTAACCATATATTGTACAAATTCAACGATAGCAATTATGCCTTTAAAGTGATTTCGACTGTCTTGGTGAATAGTTTTATTTTATTAACTTTTGATCCGGAATACCGTTCGTTATCGCCATATTTCATTTCACCTGTTACAGCATGTTTTAAGGAATGAGACCAAATCAGCTACTTGTGGATTCTGCCTCCACACCGGAGACATGTACAACCAATCCATTCAATTTCAAGCACTATGGCGTGAATCGGATAGGCCTGATTGTAAGCAAGCTTCCCAGACTTATTTGTAATGATTCTAGCGGACAAAAAAGATGTTAGGAAGCAGCCTAACAGAAAAGTGTAGAAAACTGCAAGGAAAAACATTCCTTGCCATTAATTTTTTACTGTTTGTTTTTTTTTAAGTTTGAATTGATGGAGAAATAGATTCAAGACTCGCAACCGACAACCAGTTAAACAGAGACAATATTGCACAGTGTTACGTCTTCTACTGTTTCGTCATCGCCTCTAGGATTACTTCTCGAAAATTATACCACCTAAATAAAACAAGGATATTAAAGAATTGAATCCCAGTACAGTAAAGCGCTATCGAATACTGTCACGTGTATATAGTCTACGCAACATTTCCTGTCCTGTTCAAGAAAATATTTTCCTGTTTATCAGATATCGCTCCATTTACCCATTGAAAAGGAAGTAATTGTGAATACAGATCCTGCATTTTACCAAAACGTCAACGAGTCGCTTTTTAACTAAATCAGCAGAATGAATTGGAATTGTTGTTTGGGAATTCATCGACTGTGATTATTCTGCGTTTTCGAGAAAGTTTGTAACTAGTTTTTCAAAGACCAACATTAATCGATTACATTGAAAAATTGAAAAAGAAACTATTGTATGTGGACAATATTGCTCACTGTATTTAATATATAGATGCAGAAGACTTTCTGCTGGTGTTTTTTTTTTGTCTACTTTATAATCAAACAAGCATCAATTACGAATTGTAGACAATCTGAGGAAAAGAATCTTTGAGTGTTTTTTTCTGTAATGGTAATGGTCAAAACAGTGTTTCTAAACGTAGAATATGATGGGAATCGCATGGGAATGCCTAAACGTAAGAATTTAAAAATTATTGCTCAGAACATAGAGCGTTACTTGAGCTTTTTCCGTGGGTGATGTACGCTAAATTGATTCAGTACAATTTATGAAATCCTTAGTCAAAAATTTAACCTGTGAAGGACGTTTGCATTTTAAACATTTTACTATCATTATACAGATAAATGTTGTTTTTTTTCTATTGCAAAAAATGTATAATGTTACCATTACATTGAAACGTTGAACCTCTTAGTGTTTTAGAGGAGTTATCGTCCTTTTCCATCATGATGAAGCGAGGCTGAGACGTTGCAAAACAACAAGAAATAGAAAATCGATTTTTTAGCCAGAAGTAGGCGGTATCGTTCTATTTTTTTTTTACCTGTGACAAACGGCAATTAAACATGCCGCCACGGAAATATCGAAAGTCAAGTAGTCCATTTGCCAGGCCAGCGCCAGCCTTAGCCACACCATCGGCACCGCCCCAAGCCACTGGCACAGTCACCACACACAGCCATGCTCCTACTATAGATGTAGTTTCAGCACCAGTGCCCCCAAGTGCAACCAGGATAACACTGGTTAAAGATCAGGTACAAGTACAGGTGTGGGATTTGATTAAGAGCAACAATGTTAATAGTGATCTTATGACCCCCAATGCCGTAGACAACACATCATTTAAGTTGGGGTTTAAGAAATAGTACTAAAAATCGATTTTTTGGCCGTGCTTTAAAAAGCTCAACCTTCACAAACACCCTTTAATAGTTCCAAATCACTAACACAGCATATTTAAAGCCAAAAAAAAACAAAATCACAACAAAGTTGTTGATAATGTTGAAATGTTGATCTAACGTTGAATGTTGATATAACTTGTCATTAATATCTCATAAAATGTAAATATGTTGTGTGCTTGGGGCTTGCTCTTGCTAACTGGCATCCCCTTGCAGTTGTATGTTGTTTCATTATAATTTAATGTACTTTTTTCCACCGCGGCCAAAAAATTGCCACAAGTAAAGTTTAAACTTTTAATTTGTAGTGTGGTCTTTGCATACAAGTTCTGCGATAAAAGGAAACTGCAAATAATTGGAAATGTTTTCCAAGTCCAAGATGTTTGTAAATGTTTGTAAAAACAAATGCCCCCAGGGCATGACTCTGTCAAATATGGCACGGTCGTTCCTAAAACAGATCTTGATCAATATATTTATATGGTAAATCTATTTACCAAATTTCGTTTCAGTATGTGCAACCTCTGCAAAGAAAATGAAAGGAATCTGCAAGTAATTGGAATGTTTTCTAAGTCAAGTGACATAACTCTGTATACCAAATTTTATTTCAGTATGTGCAACTGTTGCGCAGAAAATGAAAGGAAACTAAGTGGATAGACAGCAGCAAAGTAATATACCATCCCTTCTTCGAAGAGGGGCATAATAATCATCGAATTGATGAAATCAATTTACCCTCAAATTTTAAGACGCGTTTTACAATGAATACGGTTGCCAATCCTCCCAAGTCAGATGCAGGTCATTTAGTAGGTCAAATGACAACCATGTGTGACACATCTGCAGGTGATTAAGTCTTTTTTTTACTTCTGAATTTAATTGTCAGATTAAAAACAAGTGTTTTTTTTTGTTATACTATTCAGGTTTTCACATGATTACTTCCATTTCTGTTGTAGTGGTCGTTGAAAGTGTTGACGAGAGTGTTCATATAGCTACACTATCTGATCCAGCAGAAACGGTCGTTTTACCTGCAGTAGCGTTGCCAATCCTCCCACGTCAGTAGGTCAAATGACAACCATGTCCCATACATCTGCAGTTGATTTAAAGTGTTTCTTTTTTTTTTTACTTCTGAATTAATTAGTCAGATAAAAACAAGTGTGATTTGTAATACTAATCAGGTTTTCACATGTTTACTTTTATATCTGTTTTAGCGGTCGCTGATAGTGTTGTGGACGACGAGAGTATATATATGGCGACACAATCTGGTTCTGATACAGTTGTTTTCCCATGCAATAGTAAATCGTCTTTCAAAGTCAGACTTATAGATAGGACTTATGCTCATGTTGAAGAAGTATGGTATAAATTTGAAATGAAGAACCTCAGAGATTTACACGACCATTATGTGCTCACTGACGTTCTCTAATTAGCTGATGTCTTTGAGCGATTCCGAGATATGACCCTGGATTACAACAAGCTTGATGCCTGTCATTAGTTTGCATCCATGGACTGTTTTGAATCTCGCTGTAGATCCTCCCCTGTATATTTTTTTTTTTTGATTTGGGGCTATGTGCTGGAGTATCCATGATTAGAGAACATGAGGCCCATGGGCCACATCGCTCACCTGAGTAACTTGGGTGATGCAGTTCTCTGCCCGATTTCCCTTCTTACTATACCTATCGTACCCCATTCCCTCTTCCTTTTTATGATTTTAATACTTTAGAATCTACACTACTCAAGGGTGCTTCGACACAAGTTTCAACTTACCTGGTCCAGTGGTTCTTGAAAAGAAGATTCTAATAATATTTCTCCTAAATACAGTGTATATCTATGTAAAACTTGGATTCCCTATTGTGACCCCTAATCCCGGGGTCATAAATTTAACAATTAAATATCAAAAACGGCCAAGGATGCTTCCACATAAGGTTCAGCATTCCTGGCTCAGTTTTTAAAAAAGATTTTAAAAAAATTGCGGGGGGTATAACAAAGCCAGCATACATATTTCCCAAGCAATATTCAGTTAGAGGGGAAACTCTTTTACATAATTCCATAAAAAATGTTAAATAAATCCTCAAAAACAACCTGCGCCAGGCTCTTTTACACACATATTTTGAATTGTGCCTTTGTCTACGGGTATAAAAATGGTAAATGTCAAACGTATATTTTCGTACGGAGTTTGAACACGCTGACTCTTAAACAAGAGTAACAAAGCAAGGTTATCTATATTATTCGGATATATTACAGATAAAAAAGTGATAAAAACACGTTTATTTTAAACTAGAATTCTGCAACTTTATGTGCAGATTGAAATAAAGGTGTAATGTTTATGACATTCTCCCCATCATTACAGCCCAAGTATGCAGTGACTTGACGTCATTTTCAATTATGACGTCATACATTTGTAGTTCAGAGAAGTTCATGCACAGAGTACACTACAATATTCTCTGGGAAGCCTTATCGTACCTGCGTGGCATTAAATTATTAATCAATTTTACTGTAACATATCTTTTCATTCAACAAATAGTTTAAGGCCAAAATGTCATTAATATTGAATTAAATAGGTGTAAAATGTAGGCGGGAATCAAGAGTTAGCGTAGGTAGTACTTTATCGGATGCAGATGTGAGTTGTCCTTATTGCAGGTATTTATTATTTGTTTTCAAATATATAAATGTAAATATCATATCACATTATTTTCCCCTAAACTGGGGAATCATATTCAAATGTATAAGTGTAAATCTCGTATCACATTTGACTTTTCTCCTAAACTGGGACATATATGCCCACAATTCCAGCGTCAATCCCAAAATCACCAACAGTGTGAGAGACTTCCTATTGACACTGAAACCTCAGGTTGATTTTTTGTTTCATTTAAAACAATTTTAAAAATAATAAAAATTTAATAAAAAAGCATGATAGTGATATGTCATTTTTACAGGGGGATAAACTGAATGTGTAGGTAAATGTATTTTTTGTAAATTCAAGATTCATTTTACATAATCAGTGATTTAAAAAAAATGGCTCGAGGGTTAAATGGAAACAGATAACGGAAAGAAACGTGAGTAATTAGGCTTGCGGGTGTTTATGGACAGGACACACACCGATATTCCAATCGGGGGCTTATTGAACTTTTTTTTCAAAAATTGTCAGAATCCGTCCTGTGGACTGCAACAACACAAAGTCAATTTTGCAGTCTTGCAAACTTCTTGTTATGCTTGAGGTAAAAAAGATTTTTAAAAATGATCTCATCAATTTCGAAAGGCATTATTTAATACCTTTAAATAGGCTTTCTTTTCTGTTTTATTTACGAGGACATTTATGAAGGAACACAATGGCTTCTTCAAAAAAAAAACGTTGTTACAGCTTTATTGTGTAACAACTTTCAAACAATTAAAGTTTTAAACCAGAAGGAATTCAATTCACAATCAAAGCTTATCATAATTATTAACTTAGCTTACTCTATTTACTTAATACCCAGAGGTAGATTAACAAAAAGAAAATGCACTTCCATTTTATACCCAGTTGTGTAACCCTAAAGGAACCACTGATCCATGGGCCACATACCGGTATTTCAAAATTTTGAAAATGTTGTCATAAAATGGTTGATTAATACCAAAGAGCAGATTTCAAAGCATTAATTTATTTTCAGACTAACTCTGGGGGCATAAAAAAAACCACTTTGCTAGATGCACCATTCTTCATCATAAATGTATGTATACTTGGATCATAGAAGCAAAGGAAAATATTTTCAAAGAATTAATTTACTATATAATCAATAGAGCCCCGCCCTAACACCAGCTTGCGGGGAAAACCAATTTAAATAGGCTTTCATTATGTCTTCTTAGTTGGTTTATTTAATAAATTTTTTATATAACATTACACCAGAAACCCTGACCCTAGGGGACATAAATATTTGCTTAGTTAGTTTATTTATGAAGGAACAAATGGGGCTTCACAAATCTGGAAGAGGCACTCTTGCTCATCATAACTATGTGCTTAGTTAGTTTATTTAATACCCAGGAGCAGAGAAGAAGGAAATAAACACAATTGAGCCCCGCCCTAGCACTAGAACCCCTGACCCTGGGGCCATGAATTTCACAATTTTGGTAGAGGACTCAATGCTCATTACATTCATGCCAACAGTTTGCCTGCTTGATGTCCAGGAGTAAAGAAGAAGATTTTTAAAGAGCAATAATTTTAAAAAATTTTTGTCTTCTCCATAACGTTGTTACCCATCAGCTTTAGAAAAAAGGAAGGAAACCAAAGTTAAAGTACGAATTTGTCTTCTTAATCGTAAATTTTAACATTAAAATTCTTTTATGAGGCGCATCGCTTGCGGTGGAGCCTCTTTGCAATCAACCGTTATTCTAATAAATACTGCAGGGACAAAGGACTCATGTGACTAATATTGATTTTTCCCCCTGTTTTTGGGCGCCATTTGCTTACAGGTGTTAGCCTTATCCTTATCAAAATAATCGGGAGGAGCCTCTTCCGGATAATCTGCAGTGGGTTATTGCCCAGGGAATCTCATATATTGGATGCTATCCAGATTAGGTGTGTTTTTGTAAGTGATTGTTTTATTGATTATATACGGCGAAGGTTAGCTAAATAAACGTGCGGATTTATACCATAGTCTTATACTTTTCTCTTATTATCCGCAATCACAGCCAGTATGTAAGTCTACGGAAGAAACGCTATTAACATAACTTTGGGCTCCGAAAACGTGGTTTACAAATTTCCCAACGCCATCAAAACGGTTGCCAATGTTGGCCAAACATAGTCTAGCTATCTAGGTAGCTGATGCTAGAAGTTCCGTACTTGTAACTTTGTAGCTTTATTTGTTAATATATTCGATCAGTGCATACTATTAGTTCAAGATATATAACTGTAGTCAGCGGCGACTTGCACATATTGCAATGTGTGCACCACATCGAAACTGACATTTGCGGCATGAGTGACCAGTTGCTCATTTAACGTTAGTGAGATTATTTGGGCCTCGTATCAGTCAGAGAGGTCAAGGTCATTCACGAAATTCAGACAATGACACGCGTGTTGATTTTGGGGAGTTGCCATACAAATCGTCTGAAACAATTTATAGACAGGAATCCCCAGTTAAATAATTTTGCATTGGGAAACGATCCCCTCGTAAATTATTATGGTATCGGTGGAGGCCTTATTAATGATTCAGCTCACTGCCAGCGATGGGAACACCAAATATCAAGGTTGCTACCACACCATCTAATCTTTCACGCTGGTGGAAATGATATGGATGACAGTGTTCAGAGAAACTAGCAAATGAAATAGCATTGCGCTTAATCGCTTTCCTAGATAGTGTTTAATGTAAATTCGACATTAAGAGTGTCACAATTATGCAGTTGTTGCCCCGCTATCATACCCGGAATGTATCAGTAGCAATTTACAACGATACTGTCAGAATATTTAATGCTTTTTTTTAAAGAAAGAAATCCAGGATGGGGGTTCCTTGAGCTACTGGAACATTCAGGGAGTTAAGAATAGTCCACATAATGTATACATTGATGGTGTCCATTTTAATGATGAAGGCAACAATAAGTATTAAAGGAACATGCGGGGGGCAATCATACAAGCGAAAAGAATCTAATTGATATACATATATGTTTCTAGATTATGATGATTTTTCTGTCTATGTTGGTCTAAGTGTAGATGTACAAGCATATTTTCAAAATATTTACTATATCAGGTCACAAGCTCGGAAAGTCTATGACTAGGCATTTACAGTAATTTACAGGGGGGATCAACACCTAATTGCCAGCAATTATTAGATATATCACGTAAGCATCAAAATTAAAATCTTTTGAGTAAAAGTGTAATCAGTTTGTATAAAGCTGCAGTACACTGGTATTGCCCTACATTGTAACAGTGCATTATAATTCCCCTACATTGTAATTGTGCATTAGTACAAAACTATACTTACACAATATTTTACACTTGTACAATTAAACAAACAGTATATGACATGTTACTACTCTGCTGTTTAATGATGCAGTACACTGGTACATGTTTTTAGTGCACTGGTACTAACTATGTATGAACTGTACACTAGTGCAGGAACTCTTAGTACACTGGTACTAACTACTCTGCTATGCAAGTACTGTACACTAGTACGGGGACTCATTTAGTACACTGGTACTTACTACTCTGCTATGCAAGTACTGTACACTAGTACAGGGACTCATTTAGTACACTGGTACTTACTACTCCGCTATGCGAGTACTGCATATTAGTACATGCTATCCTTGATTCCCAGCCCGGTAACTGTACACTAAATGACTCATACAAATAATGATATATTACATTAGTAAAATTATTGATCAAACATAGCATTTCACACTAGATGAGTTACACCCCCCTTTTATTTCTAGGATATGGCAGAGCCACCAAGAAAGTCGAGGCGTTTAGCAAGTAAACGACCGGCACCACATAACATTCCAAGTCCAAGTAATCACACTTAAACCATACAAGCTGTGGTTGAAGATCCGGGGGTACAATTCCATAATCAAGTCCAACAGCAAATAAGGGCCGTTATTCCAGACATAACTAACTCAGTAATCGCAGCACTTAAGGCTCAAGGAGTCATTCCCATGCCTCAACTAGTACAACAATCTGAGGTCAGTCCACAACAAACACCTATAACATCAGCTTCCTCTGATTTAAGCACAGAGACAGCAGTAACTTGTTCCATGGCTGGTTCGACCCAGAACTCCAACATGAATGACAGTCTAACACAATTTTTGAGCACAGGTAATAATAATGCACAACTTGATCAGCAGTCTCTAGAATTGGAAACAACTGTTTCATGTATAAGTTTTTCAAGTCCGAGTATTTCAAAACCGCTGGCATTGGGGATTGATCCCAAAATTAAAGCTAAGATTTGGGCAAACGAATATATTGATCTAGGGAGTTTATTAAACAAAAAATTTCCTAAGGTACGTTTTCAGGTCATTGAATCCCAACAGGGGGGGGGGATAAGTTGGGAGAAACAACCGCCTCCAAAATATCGTTTTGAGTCTGTGGCACACTGGCTGTCTGCCTTCCATATATTTGTAAGTATTTATTGTGAAAAGTACCCAGACCAAGCTTGCGCCTTAATGAAATATGCAAATACAGTTCAAACATTAGCAAGAAGGTCAGGTGATATTGCAGCTTTTAATTATGACCGTACCTTTCGGGAATGGTGCGAGCATGATTGGAAAAAATTACCCTGCGAACTTATATTTAAAGCCAAAAAAAAACAAAATCACAACAAAGTTGTTGATAATGTTGAAATGTTGATCTAACGTTGAATGTTGATATAACTTGTCATTAATATCTCATAAAATGTAAATATGTTGTGTGCTTGGGGCTTGCTCTTGCTAACTGGCATCCCCTTGCAGTTGTATGTTGTTTCATTATAATTTAATGTACTTTTTTCCACCGCGGCCAAAAAATTGCCACAAGTAAAGTTTAAACTTTTAATTTGTAGTGTGGTCTTTGCATACAAGTTCTGCGATAAAAGGAAACTGCAAATAATTGGAAATGTTTTCCAAGTCCAAGATGTTTGTAAATGTTTGTAAAAACAAATGCCCCCAGGGCATGACTCTGTCAAATATGGCACGGTCGTTCCTAAAACAGATCTTGATCAATATATTTATATGGTAAATCTATTTACCAAATTTCGTTTCAGTATGTGCAACCTCTGCAAAGAAAATGAAAGGAATCTGCAAGTAATTGGAATGTTTTCTAAGTCAAGTGACATAACTCTGTATACCAAATTTTATTTCAGTATGTGCAACTGTTGCGCAGAAAATGAAAGGAAACTAAGTGGATAGACAGCAGCAAAGTAATATACCATCCCTTCTTCGAAGAGGGGCATAATAATCATCGAATTGATGAAATCAATTTACCCTCAAATTTTAAGACGCGTTTTACAATGAATACGGTTGCCAATCCTCCCAAGTCAGATGCAGGTCATTTAGTAGGTCAAATGACAACCATGTGTGACACATCTGCAGGTGATTAAGTCTTTTTTTTACTTCTGAATTTAATTGTCAGATTAAAAACAAGTGTTTTTTTTTGTTATACTATTCAGGTTTTCACATGATTACTTCCATTTCTGTTGTAGTGGTCGTTGAAAGTGTTGACGAGAGTGTTCATATAGCTACACTATCTGATCCAGCAGAAACGGTCGTTTTACCTGCAGTAGCGTTGCCAATCCTCCCACGTCAGTAGGTCAAATGACAACCATGTCCCATACATCTGCAGTTGATTTAAAGTGTTTCTTTTTTTTTTTACTTCTGAATTAATTAGTCAGATAAAAACAAGTGTGATTTGTAATACTAATCAGGTTTTCACATGTTTACTTTTATATCTGTTTTAGCGGTCGCTGATAGTGTTGTGGACGACGAGAGTATATATATGGCGACACAATCTGGTTCTGATACAGTTGTTTTCCCATGCAATAGTAAATCGTCTTTCAAAGTCAGACTTATAGATAGGACTTATGCTCATGTTGAAGAAGTATGGTATAAATTTGAAATGAAGAACCTCAGAGATTTACACGACCATTATGTGCTCACTGACGTTCTCTAATTAGCTGATGTCTTTGAGCGATTCCGAGATATGACCCTGGATTACAACAAGCTTGATGCCTGTCATTAGTTTGCATCCATGGACTGTTTTGAATCTCGCTGTAGATCCTCCCCTGTATATTTTTTTTTTTTGATTTGGGGCTATGTGCTGGAGTATCCATGATTAGAGAACATGAGGCCCATGGGCCACATCGCTCACCTGAGTAACTTGGGTGATGCAGTTCTCTGGCCGATTTCCCTTCTTACTATACCTATCGTACCCCATTCCCTCTTCCTTTTTATGATTTTAATACTTTAGAATCTACACTACTCAAGGGTGCTTCGACACAAGTTTCAACTTACCTGGTCCAGTGGTTCTTGAAAAGAAGATTCTAATAATATTTCTCCTAAATACAGTGTATATCTATGTAAAACTTGGATTCCCTATTGTGACCCCTAATCCCGGGGTCATAAATTTAACAATTAAATATCAAAAACGGCCAAGGATGCTTCCACATAAGGTTCAGCATTCCTGGCTCAGTTTTTAAAAAAGATTTTAAAAAAATTGCGGGGGGTATAACAAAGCCAGCATACATATTTCCCAAGCAATATTCAGTTAGAGGGGAAACTCTTTTACATAATTCCATAAAAAATGTTAAATAAATCCTCAAAAACAACCTGCGCCAGGCTCTTTTACACACATATTTTGAATTGTGCCTTTGTCTACGGGTATAAAAATGGTAAATGTCAAACGTATATTTTCGTACGGAGTTTGAACACGCTGACTCTTAAACAAGAGTAACAAAGCAAGGTTATCTATATTATTCGGATATATTACAGATAAAAAAGTGATAAAAACACGTTTATTTTAAACTAGAATTCTGCAACTTTATGTGCAGATTGAAATAAAGGTGTAATGTTTATGACATTCTCCCCATCATTACAGCCCAAGTATGCAGTGACTTGACGTCATTTTCAATTATGACGTCATACATTTGTAGTTCAGAGAAGTTCATGCACAGAGTACACTACAATATTCTCTGGGAAGCCTTATCGTACCTGCGTGGCATTAAATTATTAATCAATTTTACTGTAACATATCTTTTCATTCAACAAATAGTTTAAGGCCAAAATGTCATTAATATTGAATTAAATAGGTGTAAAATGTAGGCGGGAATCAAGAGTTAGCGTAGGTAGTACTTTATCGGATGCAGATGTGAGTTGTCCTTATTGCAGGTATTTATTATTTGTTTTCAAATATATAAATGTAAATATCATATCACATTATTTTCCCCTAAACTGGGGAATCATATTCAAATGTATAAGTGTAAATCTCGTATCACATTTGACTTTTCTCCTAAACTGGGACATATATGCCCACAATTCCAGCGTCAATCCCAAAATCACCAACAGTGTGAGAGACTTCCTATTGACACTGAAACCTCAGGTTGATTTTTTGTTTCATTTAAAACAATTTTAAAAATAATAAAAATTTAATAAAAAAGCATGATAGTGATATGTCATTTTTACAGGGGGATAAACTGAATGTGTAGGTAAATGTATTTTTTGTAAATTCAAGATTCATTTTAC